TCATCATCATGTTTTTCCATTCACAAAAAGCTAATTCTGAGCAATAAAACATTTAGACCTGCGCATCCCTTTTTGTTTTACATTTATGATCTTTTATGTTTTCTCTGTTTCTGATGGCTTGTCTCTTGCTGCCCTCTGTTGGTCACTGGCCCATATTCACCACATACGCATCCAGCATTTGAAGGAATAGCTCAAACAAAAATGAAGACATTTTGAAAAATATCTTCTTTTGTGTTTTGCACAAAAACGAAAATCAAAATGAACCCACTAGGTTTGAAAACGTGAGGGTTAATAAATGACGTTAGAATTGACATTTTTAGGTGAACTGTCTCTTACAATAGAGCGGTTGAAAATTCGTATGGCACTTCTCAGATGCCTAGTTTACTTAAGGGTCTCAACTTTAACGCTATTGGAACGAATAAGACTCAACTCAACCCATTTGTTACAAAAAGAAACAAAATAACATTTATTGAACATGCATCCAACCTAAACTCGTTACACCTGGGGAATATTTGAACCCAGCCGGACAAACAGATCAGGAACTCTGACATCCAGCGGCTTAACAAGGGCTCTCTGAAAAATACTGATACTAAACAGGAAGTGTGTGTTCATGACAGGAAACAGAAAACTCCCCAAAGGTCCAACGGGAAAGACAAAATCAATAGTGTGAAATAATCCCTTACCTCTCGTTCTAACGCACAGACACACACATAGTGAGACTAAACGCATCATACACCATAACAATGATGATGATGATGTCATCTGCATGCCACAGATTCTCAGTTTGGTTTCAGTGATTGGCAGCCAGTATATGGATGAATGTCTGAATATATGTTTTAATGCTCGTTACAAAAATCGGCATCTTGCTAGAACCCGAAGCATCTTAGAAACATTCTACTTATGTTAGAACTTTTTACTCTCGCATATAATCGCATTCATTCTGCATATAGATCTCATAGGTGACAGATTCAAAAACACACACACACACACACCAACCTGCGCAAGTTTCCTCTGAATGATTATTAGTGATGTGTCATCAATAATGTTGCTATTTTAACATTCAATGAGGAAATTACAGCATCATCATGTGCAGAAAACATCAGCCAATGTTTCCGATTGAAAGCAAGTGTCCAAACAAAACCTGCAGGATGGGGCCATTATTCTGTCTGGTAAGGAAGGACAGTAGAAAGACGGCGAGAAAGAGGGTCAGGTGACTCCTGTGGGCGAGATACTCCACAGCAAAGCTCCACTGATTAAAGTGCATGAACATACAGGAGAGGATTCGATTGGGTGTGAGGAAACCGCTGCGGTCCGCTCGAGTGTGTGTGTGTGTGTGTGTGTGT